ACCTTAATCCTATTGACACAATAGTGTTCGGCCCGTTGATAGTTCGATAAAAGATATCGGACTTTTGAGCCGCGTAAAATTCGGCGTGATTGTATTAAAATAAGAAGATTAGATCAGGTGATCGTTGAAGTGAGTTCAACCCGTGACAATGACTTGGTTATTGTATAATTTGAATAATGTAGGTAATGTTGTTTTACATGCATAAAGGTATTGATAGACGTGCTCACTACTAGCACGGAAGGATGCTTTTATTGAGCAAGTGCTCATTAGTAGCACGTGTGTAATGCATGCTTATTTAGAACGTGCTCAAAAATCAAACGTTCGATTTTCGAGCATGCTCCGAAGTTCGAACACGTCTGAGCAGGTTTGATATTAGAATGCTATTATCGACGACTGTTTTATAATTGATGTAATTAATTAAAATTAATATGAAGTATGAACGAGCAATGTGATTATTTTATTAAGTTCTGTACGGATAGCACTGCCACTACATACTTGCACATCCATTTTGGCCGTGAGTCTGGTGCCAAATAGCACGTCTGTCCATACGTTTGCTTTGAGCATGCCTATTAAGGAGTATGCTTAAAACAAGCATGCTTATTGCAGCAAATGTGAAAAGTTTGCAGAGCATGCTAATTTTAAGCAAGCTTATAAGCGTGCTTTTTTGAGCACGTCTGTCAGTACCTTAAGTTAGTACTCACTCGCATCAAAGCAACATTTTATCTTACCGTGTAAATCCTATACTTTCAATGGGACGATTTATAAGCAGGTGAAGGTGACTAAAGTCAAGTACATACCCATATAGGTACTGATAATATGCAATGAGATGAAAAAGCACGTGATATATTTTCTGAATCACTAAAGAATTCGGCAAATACCTACATAGTTGTAACTTCGTACACAAGCACTCCGTATATCATGAATCCGAGACTGATTCACCGATAACAAACGCCTGTGTAACAAAACTGTTATTTAGAGGTATAAAACAATTAAATATCTATCTTAAGAGTCTAACAATAATGAAGGATTTTGTGTGAGATTTTTCACAATGAGGAAAAAGTGGTCTCATTTGTATCTTTTATAGGAAGAAACAGCTCTCAGTTGTTATATACTAAAAAATTGTCCTTGTTATTATCTCCAAAAAAAATACAATGTCCGAATTTTTTAAACGCGCTACCAGCTGACAACACTTATGGTTTTTGTTAAGGTATATTTTTTTTTTTTAAGGGGGGAAAATCATCGAACTGCTCCCGCCTGGGTGAGGCGGGAGGGAGTGTCAGACTCTTACTGACTAAAAACCACCCCGTTCCTTCTCCTGCACGTCGAGTCGGAGCCCCGGTTACCCGTTAGGTTCTCCGCGTCTCCGAATCGGCATCGGCCGTATTGAGCCCCATCTGTGGTGGTCTGATGGCTCTTTGAGGCGCGCGCGGAACGCGACGCGCCGTACGCTCGGGAAAATATAAGGATAGGTATGTTTTCATGCAAAACACATGCACAAGGTGAAGTATCACTCTCATTAACAATAAATTTAACAAACAATAATCCATCTATGCAAACAATTTTAACTTGAGGTACGTTTTTTTTCTTTGATGACGAGGGAAAACCCTCAAAATGTACCTAGGTTTTTGGGGATAAGAGACTGGGGAATGTGGGCTTTTCATATTGGTAGTGCCACTGTACAAAGTAACATTCATTTTTCACTATTCATGTTATAAGTCCCATGTAAAAGGGAGTGAACCTATTGCCATATACTGAGCACAATTCCAGACTCCGTGTTAGTACTGGGATTTTTTTAAAACCCAGTATTCCTTTATCCGACCCGGCAATCGAACCCGAAACCCCTTGCCGCACTTGCGACCACTCGGCCAACTCGGCAGTGGGATTTTTACCACCTTGTGACCACCCTCAGCACCTGTAAGGGGCACCAGGTCCTCTAAAAGAGATCTGCTCCGGAGCCCCCACAGTGCAACACCAAATCAGTAGGTAAGCAACTCAGCAGTACCAATGCTAACATTATTTTTTTTAATGTGAGAAACCACGTGAAACCCCGACATGTGTAGAGTAATTATCGCCGTTGATAAGTACGAATAATATAATTATTTTTCTTTATTTCTAGATTCTACGAAGTCAGGCGTCAAATGTCAGCCGCTACTGCTGTTTACTACAGATAAAATAATTACTCAAATGCTAAGTGCAGTGTGTGTTATAGGTACTTAATTTTATTTTATTTTATTTAATGCACCTTTTTAATGCTGTATATGTCGTAAGCAGACATCATCTTTTTATATTTCTCCGGCGTAGCTTTCCTAATTTCGTAGTTTTTTTCGTAGCCTTGCTACGGGAATTTGTCGTAGTCACGTAGGCTACAGATTCTTCGTAGCATCGTAGCAAACAATGGCAATTAAAAAAGCTTGTAGGTACAATGTTATAGTTATACATATATACATGTACAATGTTATATTGTCTAAGTAATTTTTATAATATTGTTTAAGCAATGTGGCTAATATGCTATGGGAATTTGACGATACCAGATTGTTAGGTGTGGGTAAATATTCAGACATTATTAGTACGTGTCAATAAGCAACTAATACGAAAAAACTAGAAACCTTGTTTATAGATTTTTAAATTAGTCTATAACTATACCTACACTTTGTTCTACTGAGTTAAATCAATGCTTATCAAAACAATTATAAAGAACAATTAATAGGAAAAATATTTCTCGTAATTGTGTAATAACAGAAACAAGTTATTGCCATGCAATAAATATCGACATCGAGTGTCATACTCGAGGGACAATAAAAATTTCGCAATCTACGTTGTACCGAGATAGCATTGCTTCTAGAAAAAAATATGATGACTAAGCAGTGTAAACTAATTTTGTAGGATAAAGGCGACAAATTAATTGTTACGTATTCCATGGAAGATCGTTATTCATTCTAGTTGTCTACGTGCTACGTACCTACGCATTAAAATATAGTTAAAACGTTTATTACATAAAAAATAACAATGAAACTTGGCGCACGCAGATTACAAGTGACGTCCACACGTTTATTTAACTAACGGACCTTATATTTTATTATTTATCATTATGTAACCAGCTAGCAACAAACGGCACGCGAAAACCAGAAAAATCTGATGAACTCATGAACGATACTGTTAATTCGCTCATCGGAGATCAATAGGTGGCCTAGCGACGTTGATAACGAAAAAAAAACAACTTATCTTCGATATTTCAAATTAAAATCGTGCCTGACCTTGCTATCCATAAGAAACCCTACGTTATCAATGTAAAAGGTTCCTTATCAGCACAGATAGGGCCGCAAGGGACGTAATTTTGATAAAATAGTGACAGTTAATTAAACTTTCCCTACAGATTTGTGAATGTCATAAGGTCTAAAATCGCTTGAGAGTGAGGAGTAGGATTGTAAGTGGTGTTGTCGTCAGTTGTTTGCCGTGGAATCTTCCCGCGCTGTCGATAACCCGCGTTATCGCGCAGGCGGCGCCCGCGCACGAGACCGCGCCTGTTCTTGCAGTTATTTATAATTTATAATCAAGAGAATGACACAATTGTGGCAAACACTGGTCCATTGGTGTGCCACGTGCTGCCTGGTGCATGTGTCGGCGTGGTGGTACGCCCAACGAGTGATCGTGCCTTATCTATGCCGGTAGGATCTGATAGTTATCACATTATGTATGTATTTAGATTATTATAATAAAGATACCTGCTATACACAAGTACACAGATTCATAATATCTCAATAAAATCTTGTTGTGATAATCTACCAGGAAGTAAGAGGTAGAAATGTATTTTATCAGTCAAGTTGCGTCTTATGCAGAGGTTCTTAGATGTGATTGATGATAAATAGGTATCTTATTACGGTACTGGTTCCTTTTAAGTACATGAAAGCACTTGACTTAATGGAGTATATTTACTTGTTTCTAAAAATCAGATTATCTATAAAATTATCCTAACAAAGTGAGTAAAAGAGAGCAGACGGTAGCTGTTTCATTAACTTTTGATGATAAGTAGTTACCGTAGTCAAAATAAAGATAAAAATGCCCACTACCGCCAGCCTGTAAAAATACACATCCTAGTATCGAGCCACGATTTTAAGTGCTCGATATTTGCACATACTGGATCATCTAGCACCAGAAGTATATTATATCCTTCTTTGGGTCGCGTCACGTAATTGGATAGAAAAGAACCATACATACCTTTAAAAATAATAACTTATAAACGATATAAGTAGGTACTATAAAGAAGCTATCAATAGCAATGGTTTTAATACATATTTATATATCAGTACGATATTTATATAGTCCATAAAGATTATACTGATTATAATCTTGCTATTTTAAGAATATTAAGTAAATATTCTGGCATGTTCTGGGCGTATCCCTCGTGCGTGAATGTTGACAACTATCTTATCAGATAACAACAGTGTTTCTAACCGCTAATTGTTATCACTCGCCTAGACTTTGAAATAGAGAACAGCTGTTTATCTTGCGATCACGAGGTGTGGTGTACTATTCTCGGCTCTATAAAATTCTCGTTTATCATAGACTTCTTCGTTGGTTATGTGGTCGTACTAAGTGATTTTATTTTCGAAATTCGCAGTGTAACTTTCAATGTCACTCTTGGCTTCTCCCTTCAAATAGAGGGTGTGATCGATGGTATTACTATTGGTGCTCGGTATATGCAGCAGACACGTACAAGAAAATACCTGTACCTACACGACACACATGATCATAAATGCAAGCACAAACATGCAAATGACGTTTCTGCTATCATTAATCATGTGACATTAATATCTAAACAGCACCTTATCAAGAAGTGTCCAAACAATTTTGTAACGTTTAATAGGCCAATGTTTTAATTACGGAGTACACGGAGATAGTAAGTACGTATTAACAGGAGTACAATAATATAGTACTTTAATCGCAGACCTATCTCACAAACATTACGACACACACGGGGTCAGCGAGGAAATAAAACAACGTTAACATAATTACGCCGGTTTTATTCCGTTCATTTACAACACTTTGTATCTAGCCTTGTTAATCATGTGATGAGCGGAGGTTTGCAGTTTGAGGAGTTCTTCCTTGATGAGGCGCGTTATTTCCGATTTGGCTTTGGCGACGGCGAGTTCTTGGGAGCTTTCTATCGCGAGGTACAGCTTACGCTCTCCTTCAGGCGGCGTCTTACCCGGCGGGACGTAGGTACCTCGCACCGTTATACCGGCCTCGGAATACTCGCTGATCAACGCTAGCGCCTCCTATAATCAAAACAACAATTGTTATGAACCAACACATCAGATAAACCGCTGAATGATGAAATAATTATCTCTGTGTAACAGAACAAATCCACTAAAATCCGTTAAAAAACTACGCATTACAATTTGATTTTTACATTTACGAGTACGATAGATAGATAGTTATTACCTCTTTTTTATCTAATGACAGTAAAAACATTTACTGTATACCCTTTGTCTTCTAAGTAGTTTGACACACATAAATATGAGGGCACCAATTATGGCAAGTTTTAGCAACATGTTGACAACTAATCTCGTCGGGAAGAGAAATTGCACTGAGTACTAAGTATGCGTTATAATGCATGTACCTACAATGAGGTTATCTGCGCAAGGTTAAAACGACCCCTTCGTAAACAAATAAAGTATAAATGAGGTCATTTACTTTCAATAAAAAACGATTGAAGTAAGGTGATAGGTCGCTTGCAACTTTATCTTGAAAAATAGCAATTATTTTATTAAAATCGCATTTTATTGTTTTGTTTTGGTCAAGCGTAGACTAGTACGTGCGATGACGTAAGCAGTCATCGCGTGATTACTCTCCGGGTACAATCTGAGCACTGTTTTTGGTACAAGAGTACTGGTATAAGCATCCCATTATGGGTAAATGTCGATGGCATGCTTACTGGTCAAACCAGAGACTAACTAAAATATGTATTTGATCAGTACCTACATAATATATGGTAAATCCAAGTAGGCAATTCAAAGAAATGAATAAGTAAATACTTAAATGTGTTGCTAACCACCAAACCCGAGAACGGTCTATACAAATACTTTTTTATACAATAACAGCATTCACCAGCTGATTGAATCAACTGAACTGATATCTATAAATAGAAACGCCCCCAATAACAAGAAACGAAAAACAATAAAATTTAAATGTAAATACCTAATACAGAGAATTTAAATGGTGTCACTACGTCACTGTTTCGTATCTCAGCAATAACACGTATGCTATTAATTAAAATTTTAGTTAATTATCACAATCAAATTAACCACAATAATTGTCTTAATGTTATCTCAAGAAATTAAAGTTAAACATTGCATCATTACCTATACATTAGGTGTCTCAATTAACGTAATTATTTCGTATTATTAACAGTACACGATTCTATTAATAATAATACTTTGGTATGATGTGACACATCGGAAATAATTCATTATTATATTGTAATATTAACTTCTATTACTACCATGTGATGAAATATCTGACAATTTATACTGGAAAAATGCAAGTATAACAGAATGTGTATGTGAGCAAAGTGCTCAACTTCGCAATGACTGTTTTTTTTTCATCATTCTTTAACTAATACTAACTTCCCTTAATTTATTTTACTTTATCTGAATATCGTGAGTTAAAGCCTGGATTTTTTTAGAGTAGCCAGATAGGGCATGACCCACCTAGCATCATTTTCAAATATGAACATTGTCAGTGTTATTTTTTAGCTTATGTTAACACAAATAATATATACGCCCTTTTTTTATACCTCTCTTAAATTTGAAGGAACACTTAAACATAACATCAACCGATAAGTGATAGGTACTTCACAGAACAAATAAGGGGTAAGTTTAGGTGCCACTTTACAGAACAAGTAAGGGAATACTTTAGGTGCTACGTCAGGCTAAGCGACATTTATTAAAGTGACAGTTTAGGGATGATGGTGAAAACGGCCAATTTTTCTAATCGTAAAGCCAATCCATACTAACAATAATATGAAATGTTACCTCTTTATAATATTAGTTATACTAGTAAATATTATATTAAAATGTACCTTGCTAGTGACTCTCCAGCGAGCTTGTTGTGGGAAGTCATTGATCTCCAGTTCTGTCTCATACTTCCTGAACACTTCCTCAGCAGGTTCCGACGCGCTCTCATCCCTGGGTTGGTAGTTCAGACGCGTGTTCAACTTGGCAGCCAGCTGTTCTGCTACTGTTTTAGCCTAAATAGGATAGGAGAGATGTTATAAATATGTGAGTATAATATACACCATAGTTTCACAGCAAACCGGTGTGAATAAGAAGAAAAAGATGGCCTGTTGTATTTTATTCGCCAACTTTAAATAAAAA